TAGGACCTCCACTATTCTTTTGTATCGGATTCTATTACTTGATTCTCGGTCGATATCACTCTAGGAATAATTGGTTTATCTTAGCGCTTTCTCAATTGTCCTCCTCCACATTCTAGCTTGAGAATTCCACCTCAAAGCTTGGCGTGCAATTTCCTCAATCTTCTCATTGAATCTACGAAGATTGTGACCTATCCTGCGCCATTTGTGTTTGCAACAGTCGTAGGCGATTGATTCGTGATTCTTTTTTGTTCTTTTCCATGTCTCATAAGCATAGAATAACACAGACCTTACATTGGTGTTGTAATTGCGAACTTTTATGCGAGTGAAAAATTGGTTAAAACAGAGCACGCAACATGCCCAATGCAGTCTCAAGTTTGGTTAAGCGAGAGTCGATATCTTCGTTAGCACTGCTTTTAGTTGTGACTATGCTACCTAGATAATTAGTACAAATTGGTTTGTAGTCGGGTCTTTTAGAGTACAAACTTTGAATAAAATTTTAATTTATCAATATTTTTGCGTCGTTCTCAACCTCAACTGTATGATGTGACCCGTCAGATTCATATCAAAAGAATGGTAACTATGGTATAGGAACTGAAGTAAAATAGCACTATTCATAAGAATTAAAAAAGCATGCTATACAACAGCACTTAGAAAATGTAGTTGTGCACAAGACGATTTAATTTCTTTATAAAGCGATCGTAATGGTTGTAGATTGTGAATATCATTTCAGTGTTAATATATTATTTATAATTATATATGATCATCTTTTGAAACAATTGCAGACGTCAGAACTATAATCAGAAGAAAATAAAGAAATATTTTTTAATTCATTTCCATTTGTGTTGTAATTTAATTTATTTCAATTTTTCAGAAGGCAGCGGTGTTGGGTTTCTAAACTTAGGGACTTTCCCCTTAAGTTCAGGGGCAAAAATAGCTCAAACATTTTTTAGTACAATAAAATGTTAAGGGATTTAAAAAAAATTGTTGATGAACATTAAAATTTATATTTTTTCAATTTAAAAAATTCTATCAATATATATAGTTACGAAAAAATAGACCTATTATTGATATTGCTTTCAATTCGTTATACATTTTGATTTATAATTTTTTAATAAATATTAAAAATTTTTTTGAGATTAATAATAAATGTATAAACTTTATATTTGACGAATTGCAAGAATTATGCCAATATGGTAGCAAGAGACTTAAGCAAGAGACTTAAGTAAGAGACTTAAGTAAGAGACTTAAGTAAGAGACTTATTATTTTCTGCACTTTGTAAGAACATTAATGCCAAATTTTCTAAATTCAAGAATTTACTTTTCTAATTAAGTTCTTTGTATAAAAAAAATTGTTAATTTGAATTTCTGCTTTTTGTCATGTGTGAGCAAAGAAAATGTAATTAGGTAAATAAAGAATATTATTTTTTCTATTATATTTTAAAAAAAGCGATTAATAAATTAAAATTATATAATATTGATTGATCCTGCACAAGTAATTGTGATTTTACACATTTTATTCGCTTAAGACCTGTTCACACAGCTAATCATACTTTGATTTGAATTCATTTATGGTTACACTCATTAATGAAAATGTGGATTATGGCAGTTATATTTTGTTTTGGTTTATTTTGTTTTATCACAATAGCATAAATTACAAACTAAATTTTCAATTTTCAATTTATTCAACCATTTTATAAGGTATTGGATATTTTTATAGAATCAAATTACAATTTTAACTTCATTTGTAAACATAGCGATTAGAACAAACCGAACGAGTAAAAATTGAAACTGATCATTTTCTCTTTGCTGTCAAAATACTTGTTTATGAACACCTAGTTTGTGTATGAATAACATAATCTTCAAAGCTTAGCCTAAATGGTTATTCACTAACTTTAATCAACCCGCTTTTATGTGATGTATGTGAAGCATCAATCAAGTAATGATAATGTATTCAAGCAGTTTGTACTTTCGTACTGCATGGACAAATATTAACGGCAACACAAGCAACTGATAGATGAAATATCAAAACGTATTGATTTTCTATCCATCATTTATTCATGCAGATTGACTGTACAAGGAGCACAACGAGTGGAACAAGTGGTTTATATTTATCTTTACGTGGTTAAGCTCTTAAATTAATCAAGTTAAGTCACAACTACTATGATGTGTGCTTATATATACACTATATCAATCATTAATAGTTTTTTATATAATCCATAACTGACAATTACTAATTACCAATAGTTTTTTTATTTTTAAATAGATAAATGGCAATTACAACGTTATATAGCCATAAACATATATATGTATATAGAGTGGCGATTTTTATAAAACTCTATCTATCAGCCGCATCGCGTATTTGGCGCAATAATCCAAGCATTTTACAAGCTCTTCCAAGTTATTTCTTAGTTCAGATTACAGTAAGGTCAGTAAGGTCCTTCATAAAGTGTACAACGAGTTGTATTTGAAGGAACCCACTAGTAAAATTGACAAATAATTCAAAGCATTTGAAAGATATATGTTACATATACAATAGCGAAGTCAAACAACACGGAAGTAGAATAATGCGTACCAACTCACAACCGGACAGACGGACAAACTTATAATGAAACAGTATAAATAAAAATAAACAGTGATAAAAATATATGGATAATACATAAAACCGTTCAATTAGCAAAGTCTTAAACATTTTGAGTTTTATTAATGCATATATGAGGTAATTGATCAATTTTATGAAACACATATTAATTTAAAATGATTTATTTACGATAACCGATATATTGGAACTATTAAATAATGTTTATGAAATTAAGTGCCTGGATGAACTCATCGACGAAGAGATCAATTCTACGTACTTTTTGTCACCGATAATGATATAATGTCACTTGGTTACATTATTTATTATTATAGTAAATATTGTTTTCCCGAAAAAATAAAAAGATTCAAAACACATGCACAGATCCTGCGCACTACAAAAAAAAAAAAACCTGTCTACGACATCGTGACAGGTGACGAATCATGAATCAACTCCAATGAACCTCGAACAAAGCAGCAATTCACTATTTGGATCTTTCAGAACCTGACAAAAGTTGTCCGCGAACAGAGCAAATCCTGGCAAATGGTTGCATGTTTTTTCAGAAAAACCGGTCATGTCATAACTGTATCACTTCAGAAACGTAGAATAATCAATTCTGCGTGCTACACAACTATTTGATTGCCAGAAGTCTTCGGAAAATTAAGGAAAACCAACCGTCGAAAAACATCATCCTCTAAAATGACAATGCGAGCTTCCATACATCAGCTCAAACAAAAGAATTTTTGAGCAGTCAAAACTTTGATAAGTCGGGACTTCCTTACAGCCCCGACTTAGCACTTAATGATATGTTCTTATTCTCAAACATTAAGAAAAAATACGTGACGAGCGTTTTCTACAGTCTGACAGGAATATACAAAACCCTGGTTTTGGAGATATTAACTTTGGAGTGGCAGAACTATTTCGAAAATTGGTTCAATCGAATACAAAAATGTATTGATCATCATGAAGAATGCTTCGAAAAATAATAAACACTGCGTTTTCATTCTTCGGCACAAGATTTAAAAAAGTTGGAAAATCTGAGAAACTCAAAATATAATAGGTACATGGTTATATTTTTTAACCACAGTTCTTGTAATCTGGTCAATTTTCTGTGGTTAACCGTTGATTTATTGGAAATTTTACAATCTTTACATTTTGCAGAAAATATATTGAATTGACAATTTCATAAAAAAAATTACAATACCTGCTACAGTTTTTGTTTATTATCGGTTAACTAACGGGAATAAAAAGTGAATGGTCGCATTATACAATTTTACTCTTGTTCTTTACTCAGTTCTTAATATACCAAGTAAATACTCAATGATTTAATATATAACTTTAAACCAAAATAGCAAATGTGAGTAATTAAATTAAAATAACTTACTAGATTAGTGATGGTTAATCTATGGCTCGGTTTGCCCAAATGGCACACGACAACATCTGTAACAAGGTCTAGATTTTTATATAGTATACCCTTAATAGAATAATAGTATGATGAACTGATAGCACAGATGCTAGAAAATATCGGAAAAGTGTTGTGTTACGATTTTAATGTAACGTCCATTTTTTTAATATTTTCAACTAAGTATTTAGACCAATATCCTGGAAAGCCATAATTTTAAGAATATATATTTTAAAAACTTAATGTCTATGAACGATTCGTACTTTTAATAAAGTCACCCGACATATATTTAAACAGACTTAAATGTAGAATTCTCTTTATTTCATAAACTTTCATATATGGAATCTACCGTTCATCGTAATGAGAGTACAATTTGATTATATGTTTTAGTTTATATACCATATACAGACCATCCACTGTGACACCACTGTAATGAATCTTTGCTGATTTGCAGTTAAATGACTAAATAAGAAATACTATGTTTGTAACTTCTCTATGGTATCTTGGAAAAACTTACCAAATATCATAAAAATGGAAAAATTATATTTTTTTTAAGGATAACCCAAATGCATTCAAAATCTTGTTCATTTAAATTAATGCTTCCAGTTAGGACTTCAAGACCATTATGCCCCGTACAGGTGATAATACCATTCATTTACTGAATATGGTTGTCATCTGTGTAGCGCATCAATCTTGAAAAAGCTAACAAGAATGGAAGGAACAGTGAATAAATTTATTTAAATGAGATTTAATTTAAATTAAATGAGATTTTAATCTTCTATTTGTAATCTTTCTATTTGTCTCTCTCTATTTTTCATTTTTTATTAACTATTCATAGAACTTACTAATTTTTATTTCAACTAAACATATTTATTAGCAAAAAATTTTTTATATTTAGTTTAAAACCTTAACATTAAATCGGTTAATTATAATTAAATTAAATTTTATTTTTACTGGTGTCCGATTTTTATAATGAACATTAATTTTTTATCTATTCTGCAATTATTTATGTATTTTCTAACGTTAGACTCCACTGTACTTTTTAATCCATTCTCGCGCAAATGTCACACGTGAATAAACACCTGGATAATCAGGTTTCGCACAACCATAACCCCAAGAAACTACACCAATTAACACTCCATCTTTATTCACTAAAGGACCACCAGAATCCCCTTGGCATGCATCTTTGCCCCCTTCTACATAGCCAGCGCACAGCATACGTTCCGTTACGCCACCAAACTGAGCATACTTTTCGGAACACAATTCCTGATTAAATATTGGCACTTCAGCTTGCCGTAACCATTCGCGAGATTCAGTATTATTTTGTGTATTACCCCATCCTGTAACATAACATATATCGCCATCAAGAAACTTATCCTCTGACTCAGGCAGTTTAACTGCTTGTTTATTATCGTCAAATTGCAATTCCTTTTCCAAGCGCAGCAATGAGAAGTCATAATCCACATTTGAATAGTTAAATTGTTTGTGCTGGACTATCTCCTTCACATGCAATATTTCACCACCCTTCGCTGATATGGATGAACCAAAGCGCACTCTTAAACGATCAGCGGTTTTACCACTGAAAGCAATAAAATAGATTGGTTAATTGGTTAACAGAATTGTTAATTGTTTAGACAAGACGAAACTATATTATGAAACTATATTACAAATAGTGTCTATATATTTGATACTTACGCTGTGCAGTGAGCGGCTGTCAAAACCCAGCGACTGGAAATTATAGAGCCACCACATATGTGTCCAGTAAACGTTTGTAATGATATTTGATGAGGTGCATCCGTAATATTTATTTTATACCCTCCTACAATACGTCCGTCCAAACGAGGTTGTTGTATCACTTCAAGAGAGCGGGCGCCTAAAGGCTTAGGTATAAGACAAGCTATACGAAAATGTATGTTATTAATGTATTATTTATTCCAAAACAAAGTTTTTTACCTCCGCCATGCACAAATGTCAATGTGGCGAATATTGCGAACAAACTGAGGAATATACGCAAACCCATGTCAATTTCAAATTAAAGTTTTTGATAGTTCTAATCGGAACTCCAATAAGTGCCAAAGAAAGAGATGTACTTAACTTATGTGGATATCGTAGTTGCTTTTATAGTCAAAGATTGTTCGACAATACCGTGTATTCTACTCATCGATCACCTGCTGCGCGTTAAAGTTTGAGACTTATCGGTAATGCGCTATTATAGCCATAAATTAGGCCAATGGAGCGCAGAAATTAAGTGGCACACTTGACTTAAATACCAATGTGCCTTTGTGGAGCATAAACCGCTTCAAAGTAGACAAGGTAAATCAAAAGTAGCCCCACATTGGTCGGTAGGTGTTTGCTTTACGCAGCTTGTACTGATAAAGTAGAACAAAGAATCGTTGCAACTAATTTTACTCAGCAAATAGTTTTCAATGAAATGGAAAGTGTGTTTAAAATTAATTTATAAGTTTAATAAATATATAAACATTATTTCTCGTAATAAACGTTATCAATTAAAATTATTGCAGGTAAGTAACAAAACACCATTTACCAGTTAGTACACCGTTCGTATTTTTAATTCTCTAAACTATTATGCACTAACTGACTTTTATCATTCCGCACCTCAACTATCTATTGGACTGCCTTGATTTTTTCTAATCTAAAATTTTAAACTTTACTTCTTTATAGTGGTAATAAAATTTCGTACACCCACGTTCAACCTTAAGCTCGTATATACAATAAATTACAGAAAGGACATACACTGATCAGACGTTTAACTTTTCAATTGATATAAGGAAGATTCGGACACATAGCATAACTAAGTACAAAATTATAATATACTACCGATTAGAGATGAAGCTTTAGTGGAGCCACATTGACATATTCGGCTTAATAATCTACTGATGTTACTTGAAGCTAATAGTTCGCTACACAAATTTTTTAAGTTAACTCCTACTGCGGCTATGCTTTCTCGTCATAGGTTGTGGGTTTAAGTACTCTTATTGGAGTCGTGTAGCTCTTTTGGTCTGTGCGTTTATGGTTTGCTATTAAAACATAACATTCAATATAAAACAACATCATCCATAGACAATACAACAGTAAATCAAATCAACTTATCTTAGCAACGCTAAAGCTAAAAGTTCCAGGTATAATAAAATAATTTTTGCGACCTATGCTCCTCGTAGGAGTTAAAGGATTCAATATAAATGATTCAATATATAATAAAATTTAAACCCATTACATTTGATACTACTAACTTAGAAACGGTACCGTAGACGGTTTTTCGAAGTAAAAATTTCATGTTGACTGGATAATATACCAAAACCATAAAAACGCATAGCAGAAATAATACACTGAAGAAAGAAGACTGTGATAAACCTAACAACAACAATTCCTAAACTGCTATTTAAAATAGATACAAATTGGACTAGTCCAAAAATGATGCCGAAGACATGAGCATGTAAAGCGTCTGTTCCATTTTATTTAAAGACATCTAAACTGATTTAAAGCTGCTGTATGATTGCCCACAATCATAGGTCGTACACAGGTAAAGACAGGGGGCGACTCTTCAAAATAAAAAATAACTTAGAAGCAACGCTCCATTTGATTCCTTGCAAGAACTGTGCACGGATACTGCTGACAGTTATACCAATGCTCTTGACAAAAGCATCAAGAAAAAATAATACTCTTGTTAATTTCAGTAGAGTATTTGATTCAATCTAACACTATAACATCTGGAAACAGCTTACGTGCACTTAAATGAACTTCAGTATATTATCTTACACAAAGACTATCCGACTGTTCGGAACCTATTAACTCACAAAACAGCATCAGATGAGGATACATTCTATCACCAACTCACTTTTTGATCGTCATTAACGTAAAAAGCAAACCTACACAAAGATGGGAAAACTTACACAATGGAATGGGATAGGGAAAGTGCTAGGACTCAATAGGGCACAAATTTATGTGTACATTTGGATAGAAAAAGAGGTGGGCGAAGTCGTAAGGAAAAGAAGTGCAGTATATTATGAGAGGCACAGATTGGGTGTTAACGTATTTACGTGTGACAAGTAACTCTAGGAGTTTAACCACAATTGAAATAGCACGAGAGTGGCATCAGATATAGCAGGTAATGAATGTTTAATAAATGTTTAACCGACTTAAGTTTGCAGCGCCATGTATGAAAAAAGACAAAAAAAATATCAAGTGTGACTGGGTGTCATCATTTACAGCTTGTTTGTTGAATTTACAGAGATTTTGAATTCATTGATGTGCTGTCAGGGAAGTAAAGTATTCATATTTGTTTACATCTTTTATTCGACTTATAAAAATACATGAATTTTATTATACCTAACATTATTTGATATTTATAGAACCACAGTCACAAACGAAAATATGATGAAATTTTTTTATATATTTTAAATAATTTTTAAGAGTCCTAATTAAACAATTTAATCAGCGTTTTATAAGTTTTTGTCTTATAAAATTTATATGCTTTAAAATCCATAATTTGTACATTATTAGAAACATCTAATAATCTAAAAAGAAACTCCATTTCAAATTATTAAATGTAAACAAGTATATGTACTGATGTTACAAATATTATATGCAGTAATACTAGTAATTCAAAATATTTTGTTAAGTGTTTCAGTTCGGTCATAATAGCGTTTATTTGATTTATATATAATCATATTAATTATAAACAAATAATAAGCATAAACACTAACCATCTTTTGAAGTATCTTTTATGTTATCACAATATAAAACAAAAGTATATAATATCTAATACACGTCAGTCTTAATATAAAAAAATTAATTAATTAAAAATAAAAAAGAAATACATTGCATTTGTATTGTTTAAAAAGATTTTATTTCACATTTTGCAGACAACTTAAGAATAATGTTTGTTGTACAACTCATAAGTAAGAAAAGCATCTACAATCATTTTTTTTTTTTGATTCGCATCTAACCAATTATATTTCAGCAATTACTATTACAAATTCTTGTATTCAACAAAAACAAATTACATTATTGTAAAGATTAACAAAAGTAATGTCTATGTATTAGTTCAACTAAAACAAAACTAATGCTAAAATACTTATATTGGTTATTTGGTTATTGAACTGATGATTAAACACTGCTTAAAAGAAAATAAATATAAATAATATTTCTAAAAGGATATACATATAAAAATTTGCCTTTTTCCAAAGAGTATTTAAAAAAAATTTTTTTTTTATATTTAACAATAATTATCATTTTTTAAATTTTAACTACTCGACCACATAAGCGAAATTCCTGCCTAGTTCAATGTTTTCACCTTTAATTTGAGCACTAACTTTCTTATTTTCAACATCCAAAATAAACTCTCCTTCCTGCAGTTCACTTTTACCAGCTTTGAAGTCTTGGAACGAAGGCAATTGACGTGGCCCCAATATTGGATCATTGTAGCGCCATATTTTCAGTAGATTTGTATCGCCTAATAATTTAAAGAAAATATTTTAATTTTTATTCTTTTATAAGACAAAAAAAAAGATTTCCACAAACCTTTCAGATTAATAATTTTTGCTAGTCTTTGTCTCAACGTTTCCACCGAATCACCTTCAGATATAACTGTATTTACTTGAAACAATCCAGAACGTTCAGAAGGATTAACCAACTCAACCAATACGTGTGGTGCAATACTGAATATTATGAAGGGTGAACCTGGACGAACTTCTTCTCTTGTTTTTTCTGGTGCTGAGGAATCGTCAGTATATTTTACTTCGAGTTGATCCAGCTACAAATGAGAAAAGTTTACACATTATACTGTAAAGTAACTCACAAACATATAACTAAAATAAATAGTTATATTAATAATAGTTAACATGTTTATGCAATGGTTTTCTCAACAAATTTATTCTAATTTTCCTGTAACTTCTTTTAATATATAAAATTGAATTTAAGTGAATCATTAATTGCGTACGTGAGGGAATGTAGGGGTTTGGTTCGCAATCAATATGCATTAAATTTAGTACTATAATTTATATATACCGTTTACTGACTGACATTAATTGAGAAATTATTATTATCATTACATAATTTGTAGTCTATGTTATTTTTATATATAGATTAATTTACTATTTTTTAATATAATTGCATCAATTTAAGACTCAATTCTAGCAGAACGGATCTGGGTACAAATCTCACTTATGTCTTGCTTGGTAACGCTGTCTCAGGATTGAAGCTTAAAGCGCTTCTTAGATTCACGAAAATGGATACAAATATACCGGGAGATTTAGCTTGATCTGATATCCAGAGTTTAATAGATCTATGCATGGTAACCCATGAGTTACCATGCAAAGCCCATAGTGAGCTAGATTTTCGATACCTAACGTAATTAGTTTGGTAATTAAGGTGTATAAAATATACTTGAAAATAACAAATACTTAATTTAAAAAACCAAATTATGTTTTTAAACACCACTGATGAAGAATATTTAGCGGTACCCGAAAACGCTTGATTAACAGTTAAATTTTGAGATTTAAAAATTCCCTCTTCATTATCATTTTTCTATTCAATAGAATAGAATAGAAATCATCTTCATTTTAATTAGAATTATTTTAATGCAAATCTAAATATCCATACAAGTTTTTGAGGACACATCTTATAATTTAAAATTTTATGATTTAGGATGTAAGTCCGAGGATGTAAACGTATTAAATCTAAATAAAATGTACAGTTAAAATTAATCACATTAAATACTTACGTCAAGCGTATGTTTGAGATACTCTAAATTACTTAATAGCACTTGTCGTTCATCAAACTCCAAATTCACTGCCATTGCTGCTATGCCCTTGCCGCTCTCCGCCTTTTCACGTATCATTTGAGCAAAGGGCATAACTCGTTTCATATACTTTTTCAGTTCTTCTTTCTTTTGTAATGTAGCTGCAATTACTTTGTTTTCTGGGAAAGCGTTTGATTTTGAGTATAATTCTCGCATTGTATCCAATATGCAGCATTGCCATGGTGGATATGTTTTTGCTACCCAAATAACAGCACGATTTGGTTTGGCACTACTTGGATCAACAGCTTTTTCCTTGCCGCCTTTGCCTTTAACGTTTAACAAATTTTTAAAACTTAATCGAAAAGCGTGAGCTGCTTCCATTAAATATTCGGAACACATAATGTTCACATCATCAACTGCGCCAGCGAAGGGCCAACGTTCATGAACTATGGATTGTTTGTTCTCCAAAAGTATCCAGACATGCTCCGCTACATGTGGGCAAATCGGTGCCATAAGAAGGGATTGACGACGTATAAATTCAAAGACCAAGTCCTCGTGCATACCTTGTATGCCACAAAGTTCACGGTACTTATCTCTAGCGATTTGCAATTCATAAAAACCAGTTCGGAGTGCTTCTTTAAAAAGCATTTTTCGATAATTTTCATCTGTTTGTTGTGTTTTCAAATTCATTTCGCTTATAAAAACTTTGTCGTTAAAAGTTTCAGGCGCACCTTTACGAAGTGTGCCACGAGTTGCTATCATTTCTTTAACCCATTCAATAAATGTATATAAACGCAATATGCCTGCATCAGCTGTACTTTCCACAAAATTGGCGTCTTCAATGCTGTCACCAGCATCTGCTAGACAAAGCCTCATACCATCGGCAGAGAATTTATCCACTGCTTCATGTAATGTTAAAAAGTTGCCATCAGATTTAGACATCTTAGCGGAATTGAGCATTAGATGACCATTTACACGAACTCCTTTAGGCCACTTCGTTTCATCATTTGGCCATATAGCAGCATGATTATAAAGCATAAAAGTTAAATGATTCTGTATAAGATCTTTTCCCGAAACACGTAAATCCAATGGATACCAATAATTGAATTCGCGTCGTAATATTTCAAATGATTCTTTTGTTATTTTCGTTGATTTGGGGTACGGAGCATCGTTGAAGAAAATATAATCCCAAACTTCATTCGACAAATCTTTAGCAGTAATACCTGAAAAAGAAATACAAAAGTAAGTGATTGAATATTCAATATTATGTCAGAAATTCATTACCAAGTGGACTTGATTTTTCTCCTTTAAAGGAACCATTTTGTAGTAAATGTACAATTGTATAAAATGCCATGTAAATTGTGGAATCTGATAGAGATTCAATAAGCCATTGTTCATCCCAAGGCAACTTTGTGCCTAGGCCATAAGTACGCGAGCATGCGTACTCATGCAACCAATCTAAACAATTTTCAAAATTATTACGACATTCCTCATGAAAAGTTTCTAAATTTTTTAACATTTTTGATGCTTGTGCCCTCCATTCGGTTTCACCATAATTTAAATACCATTGATTACATAGTGCAACAACACATTGATCTCCCGAACGAGATATAATAGTCTTCTCTGGTTCATAATATATTTCGGCTTCTTTTGAGTCAATTAGCTTCTTTTGCAGGTCTTTCTTTATGTCTTGCACTTTTCGACCAGCAAATTCACCAACTAGCAATATACCATCATAAAAACCTACATAAAAACACAGATGCATATCTTTAATTATGACCATTTTAACGTACTACCAAACATTCTTACCTTTCAGGTAGCACATTTCTTTTGCCTCTGCTAACTTGTCCTTATCATTCTGCGATTGGATTTTAAGTTTTTCGTAAGCAGTAACAGCACAAAGGTTACCTAAAGTTGGTACATCAATAATTGGAATTGGTACGAAAGGTAGCACCATTTCATCTGTAATGCCATACTTTTGCCGGAAAGCTTCTTTTTTCTGTAAATCAACCAATGCAGCATAGTCATCAGGTGAGTCCGAAGGTACAGATGTAACTACGCCAGTACCTTTATCATCTTTTATTGATAACATAGGAAGCGTATAAATCGTTTTATGTGACGTTAAGGGTGCTGATAGCGGAAGTCCCAATAGTTCTTGCCCATGCAACTCAGCTATTTCGACAATTTCACCATCCTTAGCTGTGAATCCTTGATAAGCCATATTACGAGCTGCTCGTCTCGTACTTATCCATACTTCGTCACTAAGTGCCGTTTTCCAAGCAATATATTTGATATCTGGATGAAGCCAGCAGTTTGTTTGACCGTACATAGTTTCTGGACGTAAAGTAGCAGCAACTAAGTAAATAGGATTGGCTACTGATCTATAATTAATATAACAAATTATAATTAAATCTCTAAATATGAAACTAAATAATTACTTAAGTTTCTCAGGCTTCGCTAACAACTTCATTTTAATGAGTGTATATTCTTGCGGTCCAACACCTTCACCAGTTGAGCGATCATGGTCCATACAAGGCTGTCCATCTTTTGGTGAATAAATAGTATAACGTTTTCCATACATTACCTTACCTCGGCTTTTTAAGTGTTGGAATTGCCAACGTACAAATGAATCAAAAAACGGATTTACATCAGTTGTAATAAATGTACGACGCCAGTCAACCTTCATATAAATAAATATAAGAGTCATCAAATATGTCAATATGTTACAAATATACTTACATGGACACCAATACGCTTTAAGTCCTTCACAGCTAGCGGTGGAAAGTAGCTAAGCCAATGTTCGCTTTCAGCAAAGTTTTGTATTTCGTCATCCTTGAGTCCAAGTGACTGCATAATTTGCCATTGGTACTTAGCACCACCAGTTTTTGCTACGGCTTTACTCTTCTTCCCTTTAGACTTATCTTTAGGTGCATCAGATTGCGATTCACTTTCTACTACTACTTGGTCAACTGCCACAGGAAATATTGGTGGACAACCAAATTCCTCAATTTCACGCTTCAGTTTATCAGCGCAAGCTTTTATTGGCATGCCAGTGCAGTGAAACCCAAAAGGCCACATTACACGGCGACCTTTTAAACGATGGTAACGTACTGCGAATTCCGCTTTAGACAGAGAGAAAACATGTCCCAAGTGTAGTCTCCCATTCATGTATGGAAATGGAAAGGTCACAAAGAATTTTTCATCTTCACTTTGACGTGGTGTTATTGGTGCATTACTTTCATGAAGACGTTCTGTTTCCCATCGCTTTTGCACAGTTTCCTCAATTTGTTGAAGGTATTCCACCTTAAAGGTACCCTTACGTTCCATTGCGGCCTAAACAAATACCAACACACATATAAGTAAAAGATACATTAAAAACAAATTTGCTGATGCAATTCGATTCAACTATATTTTAATTGTTTAAATTACAAATATCGCAAATTATATTCTTTGTTATGAAAAATATTTTATGTCAACGCATTGTTTTTTACCATTTAAAAAAACAAAATACTTTTAAGTTTTTAACAGGTTCCTGGACAAAAATTCCACGGAACTGCGCGAATCCAATGTAAACTTAACTCTGATTCAGTGCAACGTGTTTTCGCCTGTGCTACTTTGACAGCAAAAAAAATAAGCCGTGCGTATGTTCAGTTAATGAAAAAAAAATGTTTACATACAGCTACGACCTAATAAATATACTGGTTTATTTTGCACATATTGGCCGCATGCGAGTTCGAGTAAATTGATGGTAAATTAAGGGAAATAGTATATTATGTCGGCATGGCAGCGAATGTTGTTATTTACCAGAAATTTGAGTAAGGTAAATTAGATAAAAATTATGTAAATTAGGTGTTGCCATTGTGTCAATTTTAAAATATGTTTAATAAATAATTAATAAATTTGAAAATTTATAACCAAAAATAATAAATAAGTGCAATATATAAATAAATAAATATGTACATAAGTACAGTACAAAAGAACCCTAGGAAATTTCTATTTACTTTGCTTCAATTTACTCGAACTCGCACACGCCCATTATACACTTCAAACTAAATGTTTTAATTTTTATACAAGCAAGTCAAACATGATTGCATAAAAATGAGTTATTGATATTACATATCTTTGATCAAATAAAGATTCATTTTTCATTCTTGATTTTTTTTCTATTAACCACTAGTTATAGCTCATGCAAGCTATACCATTAATTACAATGAAAACTCATTATTTTAATAAATGCAATGAATTTACTATTGTAGATCTAATATCGCAACATACACTACGTTTACGCGAGTCTTAAAATCACTTTTAAAACTGATTTTAAAATTTGTTCTTAGAGCGTTTACGCACAAAAATTAAAAGCACTTTTAAGGTAGCTGTCAATCAATCAGCTGTTTAACAGTAAACAGAAATGTTGATTTTAAACAATTTTAAAATGAATAGAGTAAAACTACAAATTGTTTTACTTTTATTGCAAAAAAGAAATATAACCAAAATTGTAGAAAATAATAATGAAGCAACAATGCAGATTTTTAAAACATCTCGTAAAAAATTTACAAAATTACGAGAAATGCGATTGCAGCTCTTTAATAAAATGGCAATAAGTTCCGCTAATGAGGCTTTAATGAATGTAAATGTTTTGACGATGAACAATGGATTGCTGATTTTAGAGTGAATCGACAAATATTTTTCAGGCTTGTAGATTTACTTAAGGATAAAATGGCACCAGCAGAAAATACTTTCGTTGAAGGGTTGAATATTCCCAACCTGAACATATGTACAATCGACAAAATTTGTCGTCCGGACAACTTATGCGAGATCATATATGCGCGTACTTGGCGAGAAAATTTCCACTTCTACATAGAAGCAATTAAAAAAATAATGTAGAAAAAACCAATTTTAAATTAATTAATTTATAATTTTTTTTATAACTAACAATATAATATATATAATGTAATATATTTATAACAATTTGTGCTTAATGACAAATTTAAATAATTGAAAATAATAAACTTAATTTAAACTAAACTAAAATGTTTTAAATATATAGTTATCATTACGGTAAAGTTAAGATTTTCAAATAGAGAATAAAAAATAAACAAGTTTAATTAATTTAGATTCTGGGATGCAATTAGGCTTTTTCTATATTTTTTGCCGTCTAACAATTTATTTATTTGTTTTTCTGCAAATATTTTAATTAAACATTCTTCCTCCTCTTTCATCCAATTTTTTCTTTTCATTTCCTTTTTCTCCATATTTTTAGTTATTTGGTTAGTGTTATTTGTAATAAAATTCAAATTATTTGTACCTATTTACTGTTAACAGCTGACAATTCAAACCTTAAACTGCTTTTAAGGTGTTTACGCAAAGATTAAAAGTGACATTTCTTACTAAAAGTGATGTTAAACTACATTTAGTAAGCTAAAAGTGCTTTTAAGCAAAATTCAATTTAGGGTGTTTACGCGATCTTAAAATCGATTTTAAGAGCCTTAAAACAACTTTTAAGGCTCGCGTAAACGTAGTGATATACTACATTCATAGCCATTCAACCAAGTTTCTACTTAAAGTTTATAGGGATTTAACACAAAACATATTCAATGAAAGCATTAAACAGACTTCATTATTATATTTTATATTTTATTGACATATTAGTCGCATTTTTTTTCATTTAGAGCAGATACAATAACAAAGTTCAATATATCAAAACAATATGAAAAAAAACGCCCTTCTATTATTTATTTTGATTTCTTTTATTTAAATGAAGTAATTTCTAATATGCACAATTTTTATATATCATATTATACACAACATAACAAAAAACATGTCAAAAAAAGTATATGACATATTTTAAGTGCTGCCAATTTGTTTGTAAAACAATAAAATACTGTTATTACAGCCTTTATGTACCCTTTCTTTATTTTTAATGGGTAAATGATAAAAACTATTAATTATAGAATAAATACATAGGCCAGTAAAAAAAAGTATTACCAGGGCAATAAGCGAACTAATGTAAACCCTTATTGCAATGTACGCAAAAATACAAACAAAATTCAAAAATTTCATAAATTTGAAAATTGAGAAAAAAGAAAAATTTCAGTGCTTTATATTGAAATTTTCAACATTTTTGCCATTCGTTTTAGTTCTGCATTAATTTTAATTTTCAATTCATATTAATTATTTATTTTTATACCAAATGTAATTTGATTCCATTATGTTTTTTTGCTGTTTGCCAAAACGTAACACTTGACACATTGAAATAGTGATGCCAATGTCTCTCGTAGCCAATGTAGGCCAGCATGGATTTTTTGCTATACCTGCGAGCTACCGAAAAGGCCTGTTATTCAAATATTCCACATTTAATGTATACATATCATCAAAATTTATTAATTCAACATTTTTGATATTTTAAAATATATATGGGCAATATGTATTGAACTTTAGCAGCGCTGACAGTTGTTTGCCATTCATGACGTGACTGCAATCAATTCTAACAAAGCCAGGACGTACACAAAGCGCGAGAAAATTTTCATGACAGCAAGTCAGATAGTCATTGATTAAACATACTGATCAGAAGAGTCACTCGAAATTTGACATTTAGCCGCAATTTTGTTTTGATTTATGCTTTTAACACAAAAAGTCTGATTGCGACAAAATTATTATTATTAAACATTAAATAGTGAATAAAATTATAACTTCAAAATGTCTTATATGCTACCACATTTGCATAACGGATGGCAGGTGGATCAAGCAATTTTATCTGAAGAAGATCGAGTAGTGGTACAACATACATAATAAATTTTTCATAATAGTACAATATTAATAAAAAAAATTTTAAGGTGATACGTTTTGGACATGATTGGGATCCAGCGTGCATGAAAATGGATGAAGTCATGTATAGCATTGCCGAGAAAGTTAAAAATTTTGCAGTTATATATTTAGTGGACATAACTGAAGTTCCAGACTTCAACAAAATGTATGAATTGTATGATCCCTGCACAGTTATGTTCTTTTTTAGAAACAAGCACATCATGATCGATTTGGGTACTGGTAACAATAACAAAATAAACTGGCCTCTTGAAGACAAGCAGGAAATGATTGATATAGTTGAAACAGTTTATAGAGGTGCGCGTAAAGGTCGTGGTTTAGTGGTTTCACCGAAAGATTATTCCACAAAATATAGATATTAGTGAGAGTACATAATAATTATTAATATAGTAATGATTAACTAATAATATCAAATATAAGTAAATGTGAAAAAATAAATTATTGTCTAAATAGTAATTTTTATCTCAGTACATACATGTGTTGTATTTTAATTATCCATGAATTTTTGAATTCAGTGTGTTATTTTTTGATATAAAATTTAACTACCATTGATGATTAGAATTTTAAAATATATTCCATTGATCTTAATACCTTTTTTCTTTGAATTTCGAATAGTTGATTATGTTTATTATTTAACTCTGTGATTGTTTTGCCACACTTATATGATTCAGACATATTTCAAATCTGTTTATTGATGATGTTTAATACCTGTTTTGAGATTATTTAATTAATGTCATGAAATTACTTGAAGAAAGGATACGCACATTGCCAGTTGATATTAGAAAACAGTGTGATTGCTAATCAAGTTGGAATTTCTTTTATGAGCTTTTACACTAAAACTTATTTTTGCATATTGGCTAACATTCTAATGCTAATCATATTTTGTTACTGCTCGAACATTACACCAATAATAGTAATAATAGTAGTAAACTGTTATGAAAATATAATTAATAGCTATATAACATACCTATTATTTGAAGGTATATAATACATGTCTAATTAATAGATATATCATATACATACATATGTTTATATAAGGGTAATGATAATAACAAAAAAATAAATAAAAATATTGTAATTGTGCCAAGTATTCGGAATTCAGTAACATAATTATTCATCATTTGCGACTTTGATTCATTCGCTGTAAATAATTGCAATACAAGTAATTACCAAAGTAGTTTCTTGGTTCAAAGATGTGAACCATTAGTTTCTTTAAGGCATGTTTGCACTCAGCAATTCTCGTTATCAACTTATATTTGGTCGTACAAACATTTACCTACAGGCACACGTTGACACGGTCACTTTCGAGAGGATTTTCAACGCCACATTTTAATTTACCAAAAGATGAACATTGAAATTTTTTGTATATCTGATGTTAAACACACATCTAACCAGACTTAAAGCTGTGATTATAGATTAACAAGCATTAGTGGGTTTTTGATAAAAAATTTTTTCTAGTTTTTTTGTTTCTGATCACTATAGTGCCTGGAAATGGTAGTTTGATGAATTCTTCTTTCGTGAGTTAACATAAATATTGTTAATATAAAAACATGAAGTATTTCTTTAAGATATAATAACAAGAATTGATATGTGACGTCTATTCTTCATTATCATACTTATGGAGAAATGCAGACCAAAAACAGTTACAGTGCTACGATATTAACAAAAATAAAATGAAGTGGTTTTCTATCTAGCGTCTCTTCAAGAGCGTTAGGTTTTTAAGATTTAGTATAAATATCTCAGAAGATTATATTAAAATCAGCATAATATGGTTAGAGTCAGACATATATCATAATTATTGACTTACTTGTAAGCAGATATCTTAAGATTATGAAAATTCATTTTCATAAGTTAATTTTTCGTTGATGATAAGGTTTTTCTGTGACCTTAACGACTTTACGCATACCTCTACTTTTTCTTCCCATCTAGAACATAAGTCTATTCAAATGCAATACATCTACTCTAATAAATATATGTATATTGTATATAGCAAATGTTTTTGATTATTATTGAGTCATGATTATCACATAAATTTGGGATAAAATCATATTTTTATATAAATTCGTTATCCAAAAATTGTACTTTTAATAGATAGATAGATAGTTAATAATTGATTGCGATGTAAATATCTCGGACTTAAGCAAAATATGATGATTAAGAATATCATCTACGATTGAATCCTCAAAAGCGTCTAATTCTGCTATGTGTGTATACTTTTTAAATAATGGTCTAGTATTCTAGTATTTAAACATAGGAACCAATGAAAAATTATGTTCAAAAATAACTTCTTGAAATTTATTACCAATTACATGTCATAAAAATCTACATACGATAATTTTTCATGTCATTTGAGATTTGAAATTTAGTCGAAAACAACAATTTGTTTTGTCTTGATTTGATTTTATTTGATTTGATTTAGAATTTAAATATAAAAACACTGATTGCACTAAAAATATTAAAGCAAAATATCTATTATTTGTTATTAAATAGTGAATAGTGAATAAAATCGTTCCTTCAAAATGTCCTATCTTTTACCACATTTACAAAACGGATGGCAGGTGGACCAAGCAATTTTGTCTGAAGAAGATCGTGTAGTGGTACAAACAAAAAAAAAATATTTTAAAAAAGTTTTCAATAATAGTACAATATTAATAAAAGAATTTTTAAGATGATACGTTTTGGACGTGATTGGGACCCTGCGTGCATGAAAATGGATGAAGTCTTGTATAAAATTGCCGAAATAGTTGAAAACTTTGCAATTACGTACCTGGTGGACATTACTGAAGTTCCAGACTTCAACAAAATGTATGAATTGTATGATCCCTGCACAGTTATGTTCTTTTTTAGAAACAAGCACATCATGATCGATTTGGGTACTGGTAACAACAACAAACTAAACTGGGTTCTTGAAGACAAGCAGGAAATGATTGATATAGTTGAAACAGTTTATAGAGGTGCGCGTAAAGGTCATGGTTTGGTGGTTTCGCCGAAAGATTATTCCACAAGATACTGTTATTAGTGGAAACATATACGTAAAACAAATACGTATATTCAAATATTACTATTAACTAATTAATTAATAGCAAATGTAAGTAAATGTGAAAAATGAATTATTAACTAAATAATGATAATGATAATAATGATTTTTTTCTAAGACTTTTCCCGCTTAAAATTTGAAAACAATGTAATCAATATCAGCATTCAAACCAATTTCGAGTTCTGAAATATTTTAAATTAGTTGAGTCTTTTGTGTGGATCCATAAAGAGAAGAAAAGTGATTGGATACCGTATGTAAAGGACATTGACTAGTTAATTATTTTAAATTTATTTAAAATGAAAATCAATAATAAAAGTGCCTTTTACTTAATTCTATTCTAACACTCAATGAATTAATATGTTTGAAATTGACTAAAGCCTCTGGAAGAGGGTAGAAGCAAATGACAGTCTGTGTCGAGCACCTAAAAGTGATGACCAGCACCTCATGATGAAGTAAAATAGTTCTAACAAATGATAACAAATGACATTTTCTATAACTAAACTCGAACTAGAAACTCGCAATGTAGCCTTGTAGCTTTTATTAAAAAATAGTTGAACGTATACGATACATTTGACTGGTGCATTTGTTGGACTTAGTGCTGCAATTCTTCGCAATCCTTTCAGCGTCTTAATTTTATTTAAAATGAGTTTATAGTTTATATGGTAGTTCGGTGCTATATGCTCCAATATGCTTCAATATACTACAATATGAAGTAAATGATAAATATATACCATAAGACAGATGAAGTGACAAAAAATTTAAGTTCGACTCTAGTTTCTAGTTTATCGTAGTGTCTAACCACAAAGGTTTCTAGAGATGGTAATTTAATTAATTTTTCTTTTGTGAATTATATATTTTTGTGTAGACGATTTAATATATTTTGAGTACTTTTTAATTAATCTACACAGATGGATTCAATCTGCTGTTATTGTTATTATTGTAGCTTGAAGAGAACTGCGAGTTTTGTTCTTGTCGGAAAACGTGAGTGAGAATAGGTTTTCTTTCCAAACGAGTGGCTCTCCTATCATCTGTGATCTACGCAATTATAGATGAAGAAAGAAATATAGATTTTTATAATTTATACATTCCCATGATATTATTTATTATAGACGAAGATGAGCTTAAATCGTCGTGTAAATGCAAAATTGATTAATTGTTTGATGTTATTTTGAATAAATAATTTTTCTTTTTAAATAAAAATGAAAAAAGTTGCTAGATATGAAATCCTTAAGTTTCCATCTGAACACCGACTCATTTGTGATTTGTGATTTAGCATTTAGCATTTGGTAACTGGCAAATTGGGAATTAGCAGTTGGAAATTGGCATAATAAATAATTACAACTCATTAATAATATCATAAAGGTGTGCACAATAAATTTTTCAAATTCTGTATTTCACTTAAGTTCTTAATTTGTGTACTTCCTACAAATAGATAGATTTTATCTATAGATAGTTATAGTTAGATAGATAGTTAATAATTGACTACGTTGTAAATATCTCGGACTTTAGCAGAACATCCTGATAAATGTTAAATTAACTACTTACATTTCATATTTAATACAATTGAATTGTATTGAATTGTATAATAATGAAATTGTGATATGCGTATGAGTTGAGTGAGAAGAGAATAATAGAATACCTACATAAAAGTATGGTTGAAAGTAAGCCATTATATATAGTAGATATATGTACACAATTCGAAAAAAACATTCGATATGAGAGAATATTACTCCAGTACGGACAACATTTAATATAACAAATAATCATTATTAATATATAAATCTCTATAGGAAGATATTACATTTGGTCTATGTACTCCTACATACTATAATTCAGTTGTTTTAAGTAGTGGTTTATTATATACTTTATTAATTTTTTATTTTGGTTTGATATGAATTTAGACAATTTCATAAAGAAATATTTGTATGATTATTGTTAAATTACTCTACATGTTCAGCGACTTCAACTTTTATTTGAAGATTTTTAAAAGCCTTAATATAATGACGTGTTTTGATGATTTCGATAAAAAGCCTTATTCAAATGCTTATACAATAAAAGAAGTTGCAGGATGAATTTGTTGCGATTGAGGTTTTAGATAGATCGGATATTATTATGCTTTGCTAAATAGAAACTTATATGAATGTTACCCAACTCTCTCTCTCTTTTGCGAAACCAAAGACGTTTAATCTTTAAATGATTAAATAATTAAAATTATTATTTATAAAGAGCGCATCTTTAACTACATTCACTACACCTCCTAATTCCATACTTTCATCTTCATATCCTTCTAGTATAACTGCAAATTGTTCATTTCCTCTTCGTCTCTTGAACCGACCTCTTTTGAGTATTCTTTGTGGGTATTCTTTTTTCTTTTATTTTCAAAAGGCTTTTTTAGATTCGGATCTTCTAAGTAACTTATACCTATCAGAAATAAAATATCAATTTGACTATACAATACTTAATAAGACTGTCAGTATTCACCACTCATCCTCTTCTTTTAAGTGTTTATTAATTCTTTTATCACATTAATAGAATATCAAAGTTTTCGAATATCTTCGTCAACCTTTTTAAAATTACATAAATATATAAATTATTAAATCGATAATATCAGTTCATAATAAATAAAGTAAAAGGAATTATTTTAGAAAGTAAGATAATAATAAGTAATTATAAATTATCATAGAATTTAATTATCAAAATTAAGAGAAACAATAAATCTCTTGAAAATACAAATTAAGTAATACTACTTCCGATTTCTTTGAGGGTAATTATTTTTGCAAAATTTTAATAATAAATATGCAGCGAACAACAACAGCAGAACATAGCGAAATCAGTAGCAGGCAATAACAACTTAGAAGAAAGCTACACAGTATGCACTCAGAAGTCAGTTATCCCGTTCTATAAAATCCGTATAAAAGGAGAAGCAAAGAAAAACACAGGGACTTGGCCACAGCACTTCGAACAGTGCACATCACCAGAGGTTCGATCACAGGTCGTGAAGCAGAACACTTCACAACGTAATAACAGAGGTAATTATTAAGTCATAGAACTGATTCCTAACAACACAACCCTGTCGGTAGTGTTGTTTCCTAATCCCACAGTGTAGCCCAGTCGGTAACACTGAACCTAGCAACACAGCCCTGTCGGTAGTGTTGTCTCCTAGCCTACCTTTAGTCATTCTTTTGTGTTCTCTTATTTTCAGGAGCATATTAATTGTCCGTAATTATAATTACAATAAAATATCATTAGTACATAAGTATAACTATAAATATTGTAATAAATTTACTTTGAGAAAAAATAATAAAAAGCACGAAACTAACGCAAATAGCCCGTTTTTTAATTACGAGAAGATTCAGGGTTACAGAGAAAAAATATTCTTGTAACGACTCTGGGATCCGGCGAGTAAAACCTTGGCTTAAGAAAAAAGGTTCTTTACAATATATAAGTTTTTACCTTTATACAATTTTCAATACTCTTACTTTGTTCAGTTTCCTTCTTACAAAGTATTTCTTCCAAAGTCAAGAAGAAATCATCTCCATTATGATAGCGAGTTTGCATATATCACAATTTTAATTAAATCGCCGAAACGAAACAAAGGTGTTTGAGTTGCTTTTTGAATATAATAAATTAAATATATATAAAAAGTTGGTATAAATTGTATTATATTATTTTTAAACATTAAAATATAAAGAATAAAAGGTTATAGAAATCAATATATTGTAAAAGTAAATACTTTTACGTTTTCAATGGCAAATCATTAGAACAAGCATCTTTTTTCTTCCGCCCTTCTGCCAGACACTTGGAAGAGGATGCAGTATCATTCCCATCTCTACACATAATTGTTTTTAATACTCCATTTTTCGCTCCCATTTTCGACAACTTTTGTCCGTTTTTACACGCAAATATCAATTGTGAAATCAATTGCTGTTGAAATTGAGTAAATGTTGGGCTCACGGTGTTCACAATACTCGTTCACAATAGCATGGAGTTTAAACATATGTGTCGTGCAATTACGAATTACTTTTTAAATAATGGTCTAGTATTCTAGTATTTAAACATAGCAACCAATGAAAAATTATGTTCAAAAATAACTTCTTGAAATTTATTACCAACTACATGTCATAAAAATCTACATACGATAATTTTTCATGTCATTTGAGATTTGAAATTTAGTCGAAAACAACAATTTGTTTTGTCTTGATTTGATTTTATTTGATTTGATTTGATTTAGAATTTAAATATAAAAACACTGATTGCACTAAAAATATTAACGCGAAAAATTTATTATTTATTATTAAATAGTGAATAGTGAATAAAATCGTTCCTTCAAAATGTCCTATCTTTTACCACATTTACAAAACGGATGGCAGGTGGACCAAGCAATTTTGTCTGAAGAAGATCGTGTAGTGGTACAAACAAAAAAAAAAATATTTTAAAAAAGTTTTCAAAAATAGTACAATATTAATAAAAGAATTTTTAAGATGATACGTTTTGGACGTGATTGGGACCCAGCGTGCATGAAAATGGACGAAGTCTTGTATAAAATTGCCGAAATAGTTGAAAACTTTGCAATTACGTACCTGGTGGATATTACTGAAGTTCCAGACTTCAACAAAATGTACGAATTGTATGATCCCTGCACAGTTATGTTCTTTTTTAGAAACAAGCACATCATGATCGATTTGGGTACTGGTAACAACAACAAACTAAACTGGGTTCTTGAAGACAAGCAGGAAATGATTGATATAGTTGAAACAGTTTATAGAGGTGCGCGTAAAGGTCATGGTTTGGTGGTTTCGCCGAAAGATTATTCCACAAGATACTGTTATTAGTGGAAACATATACGTAAAACAAATACGTATATTCAAATATTACTATTAACTAATTAATTAATAGCAAATGTAAGTAAATGTGAAAAATGAATTATTATCTAAATAATGATAATGATAATAATGATTTCTTTCTAAGACTTTTCCCGCTTAAAATTTGAAAACAATGTAATCAATATCAGCATTCAAACCAATTTCAAGTTCTGAAATATTTTAAGTTAGTTGAGTCTTTTGTGTGGACCCATAAAGAGAAGAAAAGTGATTGGACACCGTATGTAAAGGACATTGACTAGTTAATTATTTTAAATTTATTTAAAATGAAAATCAATAATAAAAGTGCCTTTTACTTAATTCTATTCTAACACTCAATGAATTAATATATTTGAAATTGACTAAAGCCTCTGGGAGAGGGTAGAAGCAAGTGACAGTCTGTCATACAGAAAGGACGACCTACTTATGTTATGACGAGCACCTAAAAGTGATGACCAGCACCTCATGATGAAGTAAAATAGTTCTAACAAATGATAGCAAATGACATTTACTTTAACTAAACTCGAACTAGAAACTCGCAATGTAGCCTTGTAGCTTTTATTAAAAAATAGTTGAACGTATACGATACATTTGACTGGTGCATTTGTTGGACTTAGTGCTGCAATTCTTCGCAATCCTTTCAGCGTCTTAATTTTATTTAAAATGAGTTTATAGTTTATATGGTAGTTCGGTGCTATATGCTCCAATATGCTTCAATATACTACAATATGAAGTAAATGATACAATATATACCATAAGACAGATGAAGTGACAAAAAATTTAAGTTCGACTCTAGTTTCTAGTTTATCGTAGTGTCTAACCACAAAGGTTTCTAGAGATGGTAATTTAATTAATTTTTCTTTTGTGAATTATATATTTTTGTGTAGACGATTTAATATATTTTGAGTACTTTTTAATTAATCTACACAGATGGATTCAATCTGCTGTTATTGTTATTATTGTAGCTTGAAGAGAACTGCGAGTTTTGTTCTTGTCGGAAAACGTGAGTGAGAATAGGTTTTCTTTACAAACGAGTGGCTCTCCTATCATCTGTAATCTACGCAATTATAGATGAAGAAAGAAATATAGATTTTTATAATTTATACATTCCCATGATATTATTTATTATAGACGAAGATGAGCTTAAATCGTCGTGTAAATGCAAAATTGATTAATTGTTTGATGTTATTTTGAATAAATAATTTTTCTTTTTAAATAAAAATGAAAAAAGTTTCTAGATATGAAATCCTTAAGTTTCCATCTGAACACCGACTCATTTGTGATTTGTGATTTAGCATTTAGCATTTGGTAACTGGCAAATTGGGAATTAGCAGTTGGAAATTGGCATAATAAATAATTACAACTCATTAATAATATCATAAAGGTGTGCACAATAAATTTTTCAAATTCTGTATTTCACTTAAGTTCTTAATTTGTGTACTTCCTACAAATAGATAGATTTTATCTATAGATAGTTATAGTTAGATAGATAGTTAATAATTGACTACGTTGTAAATATCTCGGACTTTAGCAGAACATCCTGATAAATGTTAAATTAACTACTTACATTTCATATTTAATACAATTGAATTGTATTGAATTGTATAATAATGAAATTGTGATATGCGTATGAGTTGAGTGAGAAGAGAATAATAGAATACCTACATAAAAGTATGGTTGAAAATAAGCCATTATATATAGTCGATATATGTACACAATTCGAAAAAAACATTCGGTATGAGAGAATATTACTCCAGTACGGACAACATTTAATATAACAAATAATCATTATTAATATATAAATCTCTATAGGAAGATATTACATTTGGTCTATGTACTCCTACATACTATAATTCAGTTGTTTTAAGTAGTGGTTTATTATATACTTTATTAATTATTTATTTTGGTTTGATATGAATTTAGACAATTTCATAAAGAAATATTTGTATGATTATTGTTAAATTACTCTACATGTTCAGCGACTTCAACTTTTATTTGAAAATTTTTAAAAGCCTTAATATAATGACGTGTTTTGATGATTTCGATAAAAAGCCTTATTCAAATGCTTATACAATAAAAGAAGTTGCAGGATGAATTTGTTGCGATTGAGGTTTTAGATTGATCGGATATTATTATGCTTTGCTAAATACTCGTAGTAGTAAATTTGAGAACGTTGAGAAACTTATATGAATGTTACCCAACTCTCTCTCTTTTCCGAAACCAAAGACGTTTAATCTTTAAATGATTAAATAATTAAAATTATTATTTATAAAGAGCGCATCTATAACTACATTCACTACACCTCCTAATTCCATATTTTCATCTTCATATTTTTCTAGCATATCTGCAAATTGTTCATTTCCTCTTCGTCTCCTGAACCGACCTCTTTTGAGTATTCTTTGTGGGTATTCTGTTTTCTTTTATTTTCAAAAGGTGTTTTTAGATTCGGATCTTCTAAGTAACTTATGCCTGAGAAAATTCAGAAGCAATACAATCAGAAATAAAATATCAATTTGAGTATACAATACTTAATATGAGTGTCAGTACTCACCACTCATCCTCTTCTTTAAAGTGTTTATTAATTCTTTCATCTTTCATACAAGGTACATTAATAGATTATCAAAGTTTTCGAATATCTTCGTTAACCTTTTTAAAATTACATAAGTATATAAATTATTAAATCGATAATATCAGTTCATAATAAAAAAAACGAATTTACAGTCATGTTATCATCTGTGGGATCTTTACAAAAAAGAATTTTCTTTTAATCGAAGGGACGAATTCTAATTATTAATTTCCTGGCGTAAGCTTTAAGAATTTTTATTAATATGACTTCAATGACTCTTCAACCTCATCAACCAGAACTTCACCCAAGTCTTTGTTAAAATCAGTTGTTAATTTAGAGTTTTTATTAAATTTATTATGTGTTACTTACTTATCTAAACGAATATAGCTAAAATACATGAAAAACACGCTGAGAATTCAAAAAATGTTTCGCGCTCAAGTTAGTTTATTGAAGTCTCTAATTTTTGTGGTAATATCTATTGTGAATATTTATGATACACTATTGTAACTTACCTTAAAAGAATTTGACATTTGCTAATTGACATTTGCTATTCGACATTTGCTGTTTGACGTTCGAGTTTTGTCATTTGTTGTTTGTTCATGAAACGGTGAAATTGTTAAGGATGGATCCAGCGTTGTTAAAAGAATTTAAAGTATTTAAAAAAAGTGCTTTGGAATTACCTACGTATGTATTGCAATAAATAAATTAAATTTTACTCATGAAATGTGTTAATTTTAGAGTCGAAAAGAAGAGTAAAGTTGAGACTGCTGCACCATCAGCACCAAGCAAAGATGACTGGAAGAAAAAAATGCGTCCGCCAAGTGCGCCAAAATTGGATGCTAATACGTAAGTATTTTTTTGGATTGTTTCTTTATTCAATTTTATTATTTCGAATATTGCTAATAAACCATTTTTCAACATATTCAAATTACATATACAAAATAAATGTAGCTTACGAAAATTTTAATTTAAAAATACATAATAACATTTTTGAAAAGATATAAAACAATGGCTGGAAGTTCACAATATCGTTTTGGTGTATTAGCTAAAATTGTGAAACACATGCGTACACGCCATCAGGATGGAGACGATCATCCATTGACATTGGAAGAAATACTCGATGAAACAAACCAACTCGATATTGGTCAATCCGTAAAAACAGTAAGAAAATGCTAACATTTTTTTTTATATAATATAATTTAAATTATATCATCTATAGTGGTTGGCTGGTGAGGCTCTCATCAATAACCCCAAAATCGAAGTTACTTCTGATAATCAGAGATTTTGTTTTAAGCCCGTGTATAAAATAAAAGATGGCAAGTCACTTCTGCGCTTATTAAAACAACATGATCTCAAAGGTTTGGGTGGAATTCTTCTTGACGATGTTCAAGAGTCATTGCCACATTGTGAAAAAGTTTTAAGAAATCGTGCCAATGAAATTATATTTATAACGCGTGCAATGGATAAAAAGAAAGTGCTTTATTATAATGATCGCACAGCTAATTTCACAGTAAATTTTTACTACAATTATTTTATTATGGCAATATTTATATCCTTGTATGTTTTTTCTAAAGGTTGATGAAGAGTTCCAAAAATTATGGCGTTCGGCTACCGTTGATGCGATGGAAGATAGTAAAATCGATGAGTACTTAGAAAAGCAAGGTAAATTCTATACAGTGAATGAATGCTTTGTATTTTTATTAAAAAACACTACACGAATACACTAAATAATAACACACTATATTATATAGATATAATATAGTGTGTTTTCATAAAATCAAACATTTAAAAGTTTTTGATGTTTCCGACGTGAGCAATACATTACGATATAGTACTGTTTACTGTCGTTCACTGGTGCTCATATAATAATAATATATAGTATACATATAATATAATATATAGTATATATAATAAAATATATAGTATATATTTATCTGACTTTGTGTATCATCGAGTTTTACTTTTATTTATTTACAGGAATACGGTCAATGCAAGATCATGGACCGAAGAAGCCAGTTCCAAAACGTAAAAAAGTTCCAATCAAGAAACGTCAATTCAAGAAACCAAGAGATAATGAGCATTTAGCAGATGTATTGGAAAACTATGAGGATAACACTTTGACAACAAAAGGTGTAAATCCTCCTTAAAATAGTGTAATTATGTAATTAATTAAGTAATAATAACAACAATATAATAATAAAGTAATCAAATAAAATAATAATGAAATAATAATAAAGCAAGAATAATATAATAATAATAAATTAATAACCAAATAATAATAACGAAATAATAATAATAACGAAACAATAATAAAAAATTTATAAAATTATAATGAAAATATAATAATAATAAAATAATTATAATGAAATAATAAAATACAATAATGAAATAATAATAAAACAATAATAAAATAATAATAAAATAAAAATAATAATAAGAATAAAATAAAAATAATAATGAAACAATAGTAATAATAAAACAATAATAAAATAATAATAATAAAAGAATAATATTAATTAAATAATAATAAATGTAAGTAATGAACATAGATAATAAATATTAATAATACATATAAATAATGAACATAAATATTAAATATTTATAACAAATGTGGATAATAAATATAAATAAATATAAAAATAAATAAGTAATACATATAATTATTAAATATAAATAATAAATAAATTATATTATAAGTTATATTATTATATAAGTTATAATACCCCCGCTTGGGTACTTTTAATTTAAATCATAAATAAATAATATAAAAACGCAATTAGTAACAGACAAATACGAAAACTGAATATAATGCATACTGGCAAAAATTTTTTTTGTTATGTTTTCTTGAATATAAGAAAGTAATAAATTAGTCTACATGAAGTGGTGGAAATTTACATTATTACGTAAATTGAATGTTCGATATATTCCACGTAAAACTAAAATAATCAATGATATGTATAAAAGGTTTTATTTATGTTTTTTCACATGCCTCAACACTGTGACTAAATTTACTATTATAGCAAATAACTACCATATGCCTGCGCACGATTAATGAAATGCAGTTATTCTAAGAAAGATTATTGTTTAATAACTATATTATTAAGATTTTCGAAATTGTAATTCAATTTATGATTTGTTTATGATAAAATTTATAATTTAAGTTATGTATAGAAAAAGAATCCTGGCAGGTATAAAAGTAAACTTCATAAATATGGCATTTACAATAAATTTCCACGAAATATTATTGCAAATTCAAAGAATATAAAGAATGAATAAATAAAAATATACAAATAAAATCTTTTATACAAATCAATATTAGTTTTTAGTGAAACTCTTGCTCTACCAAAATTATTAATCCAATTTAATATAAACACCGATTTAGTATAAACATAACATTAATAATTTCGTCAGCGCATTTTTTTTACATTATTCACTTTTACGTTTACTTTGTCTACAGTTTTAATACTAATTCTTATACTTAAAAATACTGTATCTATAAGCGTATATTTTTATTACACATATTTTTTATATAGGAAACTATGCACAGAGTGCTTAATTTGTAAGAAGTGTAAGAATAAGAATAAATATACAATATTTTAATAAAATGTTAGAAGATAAAATATTTTTGTTCATTTAAATATTATTGAGTGTATATCTGTTAAATGGGTTTTAAAAAATTTATAATTTTCAATAAGTGATTACAGAAGATTTATATTATTAAATGGGTACACTATATGGTAAACCACAACTCTGGTTCGGTCTATTATGTTAACGTCTATATCTTCCCCGATCATTAGACTTTTGATAAACTTGAGTACATTTAAACATGTTCTTTTGTTCCAAATGTTGTGAGTAGCGAAATGTCTGGAATGATAAGTTTTTTGTTGTGCAGGTTTGGGATTTCTTAATCAATGTGTGTAGACTTTTCAACCGCTATGGTTGGCAAATACTAGTCTCTGAAATGTCTATAATATTCATTTCACAAATGGGGCAAATATAAGTCTCTGTAATGTTTATTCATTGTCATTGAGACGTTATCTCACTCTGTAGTGCCTTATCAGAAACCCGGTAAGAATTCTGTTATTCTTTTCACTCAGTGCAAGGAGACTATTAAGGACAGTCTTAGTGGTGTTGATGAATCTAAGCCAGTCTTTTACCTTTATAGTAAGGGATTCCTTACAATATCTGAGTTTTTATTTTCATTATGTGTAATGCTGTCAGAATACACCGTTGAAATATAGAAACCGAAGAACAGGGTTGACTGAAACATGAAACATATAACAATCTTCATTCAACATAAACCGAAGAAAGTAAAACAGTATAGGTAATTAAATTCATTTTAAAAGCTGGGGAACTATTGTCATGTATGTATTTATATTACACAATTCTACGAATTACTGAATGGTGTGATACTTTTATTTTCTTTCATTTTAAATTATTAATGTTCATTTAGTTATTTCTTTTAAAGTATAGTAAATCTAATTATTGCAACTAATAACTACTATTCATTCAATAGTGTTTACAAAAAAAAGCGAAGGGTGACACCTTCTCAACGTTCAGAGGCTTTAAATAGGGCTCTGTATATGCTCCAGTATTCTTTCCATTCGAAGGTAGCTAGTTGTTGTTGTTGTAACCCTGGCTGTAAAATCCCTAAATGTCATCGAAATTTATGAGTAGCTCAGGGACGTTGATCTGACCGTTCTTGGAACCAAGGTAGACTGTAGTCAAATTTGGTTTCTATGTTTGCTACTGCAGTAGTCCATTGTGCAATGAAACTTAATGTTTATAATTTCAACTAAGTCCAACATTTTTTAAATATTGGTAAACTACTTTGCTGACCAAATGTTTCTGTTAGGACTAAAATAAAATTAGAAATAATGTACTCGTAGCATTGTATTTCAGTGCAAATAATCAAACATTCAAGGTTTGATAAATCCCTGACTTGGTGCAGAATTGAACCTTAGCGCTACCAACTAGAGCTGGAACTCTAAGGAATGCTTATAACTTTAGTCCTAAGACAGATCCACTAGCATTTTTAAATGTTTTTTGAAGGCCTTTTTTATTAACTAATACATACCTGGATTTGAAACCAAATCTTGCCCGCTGTTGTTTCAGCAAGCTTTCACCTTGCTTTTAGCGCAATCTGGATTAGTGCTGTTCGTATTCGATGCCGTTCATATTCAGTGCTGTTCATATTCGGTTTTACGTAGTATTCGGAGAACTCGATTAATCGGATAGTATATATAGATAAATAATAAATATAGATAGATAATAATAAAAATATGTTTATAAAGGCTTAAATATTGTTAAAATCTTACATATATTTATAGATTTTATTTTATGGACGTGTGCGAGTTAGGCTAAGTTGATGCTAAACCAAATGGAAGAATTTTTGGGATTTTTTGCACTGCACACATTTTGCCATTTATCAACACGTATCGACACATCAATACATTATCGACACCACTTAGAATTTCCCTCATTTAGAACGCAACTTAGCCTAACTCGCACACGACCTTAGCCTAACTCGCACACGCCCCTAGTAATGTATAAAAAAAACTTTGTGATTTTTTCATGTTGGCAACCACTGAACGTACTTCGTGTATTATTCGTTGTATATTCTCAAAGTAATGAATTTTGCAAAACGAACTAAAAATTTAAAGATTCATGAGAATGTCAAAAATCTATTTACAACTTAGTACTTATATTTAATGTGTAAAATATATTTTAATAAAAACTTAAAACATGTTGAAATAAAATATTCATATAAATAAAAAATCCCTAAATAAACAATAAGTTATTTTTAGCTGCGTTTCAGCAAACATGATCCGCTCAATGATCTGTTTCATCTTTGCTGAAACGATACGGAGCACGTTTGAAAATAATTGGCAACGCATGAAATATGCCAGTTGGGTTTGTGCACAAAATTTTTTGATTTATGTGAATAATTTTGGCGCTAAAAAAATAAGTGAGAAAATTTTGAATACAAAAAATCTAAAAAAATGGAAAATAAATAAAATCTGTTGAAATGTCTGAAGTATGAAATATAAGTTGTTATTTAGTATTTACTTAAAAACTTAAATTTAATTCTATAGTAAATAAATGAAAATTGCAGATGTTATTAGAATCATCGAGCAAAACTGACTCTTCCATTCCCTTTTTACTAGTTCAAGTGTATTAAGCTCAAGGGATGAGTGTATCAGCATAGATATAAAGGAAGTTTTGTGGAAACGATCAATAATTTTTTCGTTAAAGATTATTTGATTGGTATTTGCGTATAAAAAATACAATTGCTATATATTAATTATGTTTCATATTTTAATAGATTTGTTAATAAATTCCAATCAGCAAATGCAAAATAACCGTGATGATCACAATCGGACGAGAGCAATGAAGGAATTTTATATATTTTTGTGGTATATGGAAAATATGAATACTTTTTGCGAATTTGGTATTTGTTATGGCATACCAAGAGCTTCTGTATGGAGAATAATTGAAAAAACTAGTGTTTAGCTTATATCAGTTGGACACTAATTTAAAATACGCACTTGCTAATAATGCAAAAATGGAAGCTTCGAAAAAATTCCCGTTCGTAATTGGTTGCATAGACAGTACAATTCTAAAAATAAATGCACCAAACCATAGCAAATAGGCTTATTTCAAAAGAAAGCATGACTATGGCTTAATCTTGCAGGCAGTTTGCGATGAAAATGATTTTTTTATAAACGTGTATGTTGGAGAGCCTGGTTTCTTATGTATTGTTCTGTTTTAATTAAATAAATGTATTTAACTTAATTTTTATATATTCATTTCAAATTAATTGATATTAATAAATTATCAAACAACACTTTTTCAATAATAATAAAACGTAAATAATTAAAGTAATAATTTTAATTACATTGATAATTAGAACGTTACTTTAAACAAAGAAATAAATAATAATGACATATTAATTAAATAAGTACATAAAATAAATAATAAATAAATAAAATCAATAGTAAATAAATATAAATGTAGATTTGTTTAAAATTTTACTGCACCGTGCATCGCATTGCCAACCTTATTTGCATTAAAATACGTTCCACTTTTATCTTTTACATACATTCCACATTGAGCCAGAAAGTGAACCAGATCAATTGCTGGTTCACCCCATCGTTTTTGTTTTGCATGTAAAATTGAGCGGATCATGTTTGCTGAAACGCAGCTTTTGTATAAAAACCTTAAAATAAGCAAAATTAACTAATTGAAATATAACGATGGTAAACATTTTCTTAATACTTTGTAAAAAAAGAGAAGAAGAAAAATATTATTTAACTTCGTCAAATTCACTACACAACGATAAATGTTATAGATTAAATTTTGTTTAAAATTAATTCTTACTTTTGTAGTTTTTAACTAAAACCCATTATTTTGTATTACTTACTTATTATGCAAAATTAGTTAACTTCGTCAAATTCGGTACACAATGGCATATAATAAAGATAAAATTTTGCATAAAATTAGTTCTTGCTTTTATAGTTTTCATTAAATTTATTATTATGCGTTACTTACTTATTATGCAAAATTATTTAACTTCGGTAAATTCACTACACAATGTTAAAGGTTAAAGATAAAATTTTGTTTAAAATTAGTTGTTAATTTAGAGTTTTTATTAAATTTATTATTATGTGTTACTTATCCAAACGAGTATAGCTGAAATACAAGAAAAACACGCTGAGAATTCAAAAATTGTTTCGCGCTCAAGCTAGTTTATTGGAGACTCTCCTTTTTTTGGTAATAGCTATTGTGGAGATTTATAATACACTATTGTAACTTACCTTAAAACAATTTGACATTTGCTCATTGACATTTGCTATTTGGCATTTGTTATTTGAAATTTGCGGTTTAGCGTTCGAGTTTTGTCGTTTGTTGTTTCTGCATAAAACGGTAAAGTTGTAAGGATGGATCCTGCGCTGTTGAAAGAATTTAAAGTATTTAAAAAAAGTGCTTTGGAGTTACCAACGTATGTATTGCAATAAATAAATTAAATTCTACTCATGTGTTAATTTTAGAGTCGAAAAGAAGGGTAAAGTTAAGACTGCTGCACCATCAGCATCAAGCAAAAATGGCTGGAAGAAAAAAGTGCGTCCGCCAAGTATGCCAAAATTGGATGCTAATACGTAAGTATTTTTTTGGATTGTTTCTTTATTCAATTTTATTATTGTATTATATTATTGTATTGCAATAAATAAATTATATTCCACTCATGAAATGTGTTAATTTTAGAGTCGAAAAGAAGGGTAAAGTTAAGACTGCTGCACCATCAGCACCAAGCAAAAATGGCTGGAGGAAAAAAATGCAGCCGCCAAGTATGCCAAATTTGGATGCTAATACGTAAGTATTTTTTTGGATTGTTTCTTTATTCAATTTTATTATTGTATTATATTATTGTAATGCAATAAATAAATTATATTCCACTCATGAAATGTGTTAATTTTAGAGTCGAAAAAAAGAGTAAAGTTAAGACTGCTGCACCATCAGCACCAAGCAAAAATGGATGTAAGAAAAAAGTGCGTCCGCCAAGTATGCCAAAATTGGACGCTAATACGTAAGTATTTTTTTGGATTGTTTCTTTATTCAATTTTATTATTGTATTATATTATTGTATTGCAATAAATAAATTATATTCCACTCATGAAATGTGTTAATTTTAGAGTCGAAAAAAAGAGTAAAGTTAAGACTGCTGCACCATCAGCACCAAGCAAAAATGGATGTAAGAAAAAAGTGCGTCCGCCAAGTATGCCAAAATTGGACGCTAATACGTAAGTATTTTTTTGGATTGTTTCTTTATTCAATTTTATTATTGTATTATATTATTGTATTGCAATAAATAAATTATATTCCACTCATGAAATGTGTTAATTTTAGAGTCGAAAAAAAGAGTAAAGTTAAGACTGCTGCACCATCAGCACCAAGCAAAAATGGATGTAAGAAAAAAATGCGTCCGCCAAGTGCACCAAAATTGGATGCTAATACGTAAGTATTTTTGTGGATTGTTTCTTTATTCAATTTTATTATTTCGAATATTGCTAATAAGCCTTTTATCAACATATTCAAATTACATATACAAAATAAATGTAGCTTATGAAAATTTTAATTTAATACATAATACATAATTACATTTTTGAAAAGATATAAAACAACAGCTGGAACTTCACAATCTCGTTTTGGTGTATTAACTAAAATTGTGAAACACATGCGTACACGCCATCAGGATGGAGACGATCTTCCATTGAGTTTGGAAGAAATACTCGATGAAACAAACCAACTCGATATTGGTCAATCATTAAAAACAGTAAGAAAATGCTAACACTTTTTTTATATAGTTGGTTTTAAATTATTTCATCTATAGTGGCTGGCTGATGAGGCCCTCATCAATAACCCCAAAATCAAAGTTTCTTCTGATAATCAGAGATTTTGTTTTAAGCCCGTGTATAAATTAAAAGACGGCAAATCACTTATACACTTATTAAAACAATATGATGACAATGGTTTAGGTGGAATTCTTCTTGAAGATGTTCAAGAGTCATTGCCACATTGTAAAAAAATTTTAAGAAGTCGTGCCAAGGATATTATATATATAACGCGTCCAAATGATAAAAAGAAAGTGCTTTTTTATAATGATCGCACAGCTGATTTCACAGTAAATTTTTATAATAATTATTATTATGATATCTATATCCTTGTGTAATTTTTATAAAGATTGATGAAGAATTTCAAAAATTATGGCACTCGATTACAGTTGATGGGATGGAAGATAGTCAAATCGAGGAGTATTTAGAAAAGCAAGGTAAGTACTATAGAGTGAACGAAAATAAATTGTAAACTAACGAATACGTGGTATTGCTTTGTATTTTCCTTAAAAAACACTACACGAATACACTAAATAAAGTCCAAAACACATAAAATCACACATCAAAAAATTTTTATTGCTTGCATTCATAAACAATGTTTGGTATTTTTTAAATGTTTTTAATGTGCATTGCTGTTTCGTTTACATAAGACGTGGAAAAAATTTGTTTACATTCGTATTGTATATATTTTGTTTGTGTTTTATTTACGCTTATTTAATATTAGTAGATATATTATGCAGATATTATATAGTGTGTTTTCATAAAATGAAATATTAAAAAGTTTTTGATACGTTTCCGACGTGAGCAATACATTATGATATAGTACTGTTTACTTTCGTTCACTGGTAACATACTATATATAATACATAGTATATATTTATTTGAATTTGTGTATCATCGAGTTTTACTTTTATTTATTTACAGGAATACGGCCGATGAAAGCTCAAGAACCAAAGAAGCCAGTTCTACAACGTAAAAAAGCTCCAATCAAGAAACGTGAATTCAAGAAACTAAGACATAATAAGCATTTAGCAGATGTATTGAAAAACTATGAGGATGAGACTTTGACAACAAAATGTGTAAATCTTCCTTTGAAGATAGCAATAATTAAATAATAACAACAATATAATAATAAAATAATAATAATAAAATAATAATAATAAAATATTAATAATAAAATAATAATAATAAAATAGTAATAATAAAATAATAATAATGAAATAGTAATAATGATATAATTAATAATGAAATAATAATAACAAAACAATAATAAAAAAATTATAACAAAATTATAATAATAGTAAAATAGTAACAAAATTATAAACAAAAAGAAATAATAATAAAACAATAATAGCAATAAAATAGTTATAATAAAACAATAATAAAATAAAAACAAAACAAAATAATAAAATAAAAATAATAAAATAATACTAAAATTATAATAATTATAAAATAATAGTAATAATAAAATAATAATAATAAAATAATAATAATAATAAAAATATAATAATAAAATAATAATAAAATTATAATAATACAATAATAATAAATAAAATATAATAAAATTATAATTATATAATAATTATAAAATAATAATAAGAGTTAAATAATAGTAAAATAATAATAAATGTATATAATGATCATAGATAACAAATATTAATAATATATGTAAATAATGAACATAAATATTAAATTTTTATAACAAATGTGGATAATAAACATAAATAAATATAAAAATAAATAAGTAATACATATAATTATTAAATATAAATAATAAATAAATTATATAAATATATAAGTTATATTATTATATAAGTTATAATACCCCCGCTTGGGTACTTTTAATTTAAATCATAAGTAATTAATATAAAAACACAATTAGTTACAGACAAATACGAAAACTGTATGTAATGCATACTGGCAAAAGTTGTTTTTGTTATGTTTTCTTGAATATAAGAAAGTATTAAATTAGTTTACATGAAGTGGTGGAAATTTACATTATTACGTAAATTGAATGTTCGAAATATTCCACGTAAAACTAAAATAATCAATGATATGTATAAAATGTTTTATATATGTTTTTTCACATGCCTCAACACTGTGACTAAATTTACTATTATAGCAAATAACTACCATATGCCTGCGCACGATTAATGAAATGCAGTTATTCTAAGAAAGATTATTGTTTAATAACTATATTATTAAGATTTTCGAAATTGTAATTCAATTTATGATTTGTTTATGATAAAATTTATAATTTAAGTTATGTATAGAAAAAGAATCCTGGCAGGTATAAAAGTAAACTTCATAAATATGGCATTTACAATAAATTTCCACGAAATATTATTGCAAATTCAAAGAATATAAAGAATGAATAAATAAAAATATACAAATAAAATCTTTTATACAAATCAATATTAGTTTTAAGTGAAACTCCTGCTCTACCAAAAAAAGTATAAACATAACATTAATAATTTCGTCAGCGCATTTTTTTTACATTATTCACTTTTACGTTTACTTTGTCTACCGTTTTAATACTAATTCTTATACTTAAAAATACTGTATCTATAAGCGTTTATATAAGCGTATATTTTTATTACACATATTTTTTATATAGGAAACTATGCACAGAGTGCTTAATTTGTAAGAAGTGTAAGAATAAGAATAAATATACAATATTTTAATAAAATGTTAGAAGATAAAATATTTTTGTTCGTTTAAATATTATTGAGTGTATATCTGTTAAATGGGTTTTAAAAAATTTATAATTTTCAATAAGTGATTACAGAAGATTTATATTATTAAATGGGTACACTATATGGTAAACCACAACTCTGGTTCGGTCTATTATGTTAACGTCTATATCTTCCCCGATCATTAGACTTTTGATAAACTTGAGTACATTTAAACATGTTCTTTTGTTCCAAATGTTGTGAGTAGCGAAATGTCTGGAATGATAAGTTTTTTGTTGTGCAGGTTTGGGATTTCTTAATCAATGTGTGTAGACTTTTCAACCGCTATGGTTGGCAAATACTAGTCTCTGAAATGTCTATAATATTCATTTCACAAATGGGGCAAATATAAGTCTCTGTAATGTTTATTCATTGTCATTGAGACGTTATCTCACTCTGTAGTGCCTTATCAGAAACCCGGTAAGAATTCTGTTATTCTTTTCACTCAGTGCAAGGAGACTATTAAGGACAGTCTTAGTGGTGTTGATGAATCTAAGCCAGTCTTTTACCTTTATAGTAAGGGATTCCTTACAATATCTGAGTTTTTATTTTCATTATGTGTAATGCTGTCAGAATACACCGTTGAAATATAGAAACCGAAGAACAGGGTTGACTGAAACATGAAACATATAACAATCTTCATTCAACATAAACCGAAGAAAGTAAAACAGTATAGGTAATTAAATTCATTTTAAAAGCTGGGGAACTATTGTCATGTATGTATTTATATTACACAATTCTACGAATTACTGAATGGTGTGATACTTTTATTTTCTTTCATTTTAAATTATTAATGTTCATTTAGTTATTTCTTTTAAAGTATAGTAAATCTAATTATTGCAACTAATAACTACTATTCATTCAATAGTGTTTACAAAAAAAAGCGAAGGGTGACACCTTCTCAACGTTCAGAGGCTTTAAATAGGGCTCTGTATATGCTCCAGTATTCTTTCCATTCGAAGGTAGCTAGTTGTTGTTGTTGTAACCCTGGCTGTAAAATCCCTAAATGTCATCGAAATTTATGAGTAGCTCAGGGACGTTGATCTGACCGTTCTTGGAACCAAGGTAGACTGTAGTCAAATTTGGTTTCTATGTTTGCTACTGCAGTAGTCCATTGTGCAATGAAACTTAATGTTTATAATTTCAACTAAGTCCAACATTTTTTAAATATTGGTAAACTACTTTGCTGACCAAATGTTTCTGTTAGGACTAAAATAAAATTAGAAATAATGTACTCGTAGCATTGTATTTCAGTGCAAATAATCAAACATTCAAGGTTTGATAAATCCCTGACTTGGTGCAGAATTGAACCTTAGCGCTACCAACTAGAGCTGGAACTCTAAGGAATGCTTATAACTTTAGTCCTAAGACAGATCCACTAGCATTTTTAAATGTTTTTTGAAGGCCTTTTTTATTAACTAATACATACCTGGATTTGAAACCAAATCTTGCCCGCTGTTGTTTCAGCAAGCTTTCACCTTGCGATTAGCGCAATCTGGATTAGTGCTGTTCATATTCGATGCCGTTCATATTCAGTGCTGTTCATATTCGGTTTTACGAAGTATTCGGAGAACTCGATTAATCGGATAGTATATATAGATAAATAATAAATATAGATAGATAATAATAAAAATATGTTTATTAAGGCATAAATATTGTTAAAATCTTACATATATTTATAGATTTTATATTATATTTCAAATAATATTTTAAAAATATTTCAATGTAATTTTTTTAATATAAATCATAAATATTAATATTAGTTATTCAAAATGTAAATTTTTTATTTTGTAATAATACTAACTTTTTTGAGTGCTAAAATTACAGTTTTAGTAGTTAGTTAGTGTCACGGCAACAAGAACAGTTTTGAAACAGAAGCGCTTAAAAGTATGCTATACTTATTTTAGTTAATTTTGTTGAAATTTTTATTTTTATTTAAAATCAAACTTTAAATAAATTAAAGAAACTATAAATTCTGTTTTTGTGACTAATTGATTAATTGTAGCGTGGTTGTCATTATGTTATATCTCTCTGCGGATTAGAAGAAGGGGAAAGAAACAAAGAAATGTCTTATTGTCTGCATCAGATTCTTCTACAAACTGCGCCAAAAACCGTACTTTTTTTTGCAGTAAATGGAAAGCATAGAAAACCACAGTGTGAGACTTGAACCCACTTAGGAATGATTGTGGAAGATTATAACCACGTTTAGCGGATGCAACCCTATTCCAATAATGAAGTGCAAAGAGGAGAGCAGGTAGACTTAGTATCAGCTAACGTCGATTTATCAATCAATGGTGATCTTATTCAAAACTGACAATAATAGAAAATGGCAACTTGTCAGGAAATCAGAAAACAGATAAATCTCAGTTTAGAGTTATTCAAAATTTCATTGAAAAACTGAAGACCAGTAAAGAAGACCAGTACGTGATATCAATGATGAAAATTAAACATAAGCCGTCAGTGAAAGTGTTAGAAATTATTTAAAGAACGAAACTTCAGATGGGATTAAATTTTGAATGACATGTAATTTACCTCAAGAAAATTTTGAAGACTTTATTGTCAAGTGCATAAATGTTCTGAAATGGTATATGTCCATGATTTTCTTAAAATGTGATTGATTTCGAAAAATATTCCAAAAATTATGCCAAATTTGAAATATTATATAGAACAGAGTTTCACTGAAGAAAATAAATGATTTGCAACCATAATTAATTGAGTATTTAGTAAATATTATTGAAAGTTGCTTATGATATATAATAGGAGATTTGTGATGTAGAATTATCTTCAAGTAGGGACCATTGGAAATTCTTTTGAACTCTATAATAGTGTTATAGAGATCTTATATGACGAAGATACCTGAATTTTAATTTCTCTTAAAAATATCATCTAAACTTTGAGAGAACTGAAGTTTCTTATATTCTAAACAAACATTTTTTACCAATCTATAGTATAATATGTAATCAATTGTAGCTTTATCTCTGTACATTAAAGTCACTTAATATTCCCATATTTAGTGCAAATATATCTGGGGTTGAAAGACTTTCCAAACGATTCTTATTCTACATCACATTTTATATATAAACTTCTTCGGATAGTATTCTTCACTGATTCTGTGCAACTTTAATTTATAGTTTATAACGTATACTGAAAGTAAAAAATATTACTATTTATCGATTATATCACTAAAAAAGATGCTAAGTAAATATTCTAGCAAATAGTTTTTACTGTCGATAATATTAGAAATGATTATAAATTCCTTTGTTACATCGTTTTTGGTATTAGTTGCATGATCGGATATATAATATTTATGTTGACCTGCTATGTGATTGCCACTACCACATTCGATATGAACATGAAATTTCCGAATCAGTTATGTTAAAGATTC